TAGTGTGCTTCCCGCTTATTACTCACTGTTGCCTAGTGTATGTGTGCCTAGCTTAGCCTCCCCTGCTGCGTCAGGCGTAGGATCCTCTGCTTTGTGTAGTCTTGGTGCTTCCGCCGTCGTTCCGTCGCCAGACCCCTCGGCTTCGCTTTCCTTCACCTTGGACTCTGGCGCCTCTCGGTGTTTCTTCCGCGACTCCACCACCCTGACGCCGCTTCCTGTTCCTGCTGCCGTTTCTCTTGCTGACCCCTCCGGCGGTCCGGTAGTCGCCCGCAGTTCCACCACCCTTCCCTGTCCGGCGGTTCCTTCGGGCACTCTCACAGGTCTGCATATCCCCTCGTTCTCCAGGAACCTAGTTGGTGTCGGCTGCCTCCAGGACCTTGGCGTCACCACTACGTTCCCTGGTCACGAGCGGTATGCTGTCTGTACCGAGGCCGCCACGGGTGCCCCCCTGTCCACGTTCCCCCGGGACCCGGTGTCCGGCCAGTTCACTCTGGAAACCGTGACCCCCCCGGCTGGAGCGCTCCCTCAGGTGGCTGCGTCTACCCAGATTGCTGCTGCATGCTCCTGTCGCTCCCTCACTCACCCGACTCTCCTTTGGCACCACCGCCTAGGTCACCCTGCGCTCCCACGTCTGTGTCACATGTCCCAGCACGGTCTTGTCCTTGGTCTCCCAGGTTCTCTCCCCGCGTTTCCCTCCTCCCCAGCCCCACCTTGCACGCCCTGTGTCGAGGGTCGGCTTCGCCGTGCCCCTCACTCCTCCTCGTTTCCCCCTACCGCCGCGCCGCTGCAGACCCTGCACCTGGACGTCTGGGGCCCCGCCCACGTCCCTGGGCCGCGTCGCGAGCGCTACTTCCTTGTGCTTGTCGATGACTTTACTCGTTACACCACAGTCTTTCCCCTGGAGCGCAAGGCCGACGTGCCTGGCGCTCTCATCCCCTGGCTTGTCTCTGCGCGTGTCCACCGCGGTCTCCCTGTCTTGCGTCTTCACTCAGACCGTGGTGGCGAGTTTGCCTCCGGTGTCCTTGGTCGCTTTTGTCGTGCGGAGGGCATCACCCAGACGTTCACCCTACCGGACTCCCCACAGCAGAATGGGGTCGCTGAGCGACGCATCGGTTTGGTCATGGAGGTGGCTCGCTCCTCCATGATCCATATCGGTGCACCCCATTTTCTGTGGCCGTTCGCTGTGCGCTACGCTTCTCACCAGCTTAACCTGTGGCCGCACCCTCAGCAGCCGCAGGTTTCGCCGACCCGTCTTTGGACTGGGTCCCCTGGTGACGCATCTGCGTTCCACGTCTGGGGCTGCCTTGCTCACGTCCGTGCCTCCGGCACGGACAAGCTCACTGCCCGTACCCTTCCCTGCGTCTTCTTTGGTTTTCCCCTTGACGCGTCCGACTGGCACTTTTACCACCCGCCGTCTCACCGCTTCTTTCACTCTCGTGACGTCACCTTTGACGAGTCTGTCTCCTACTACCGCCGCTTTCCCCACCGTGGTCCCCCGGTTACCCACCCCCTGTTCCTGGTCACCCCTTCCCCGGTAGTCCCTGCCCCTCCTCCTCCTCCTCCCCGTCCCGCCCCCTCTGGTGTGTCCCACGTCACCCCCCTTCCGTCGGTGGACCCGGTTGAGGGGTCTTCTGACTCTGGTGGCCCTCCTGTGCAGTCCTCGCTGGCCGCCCCTCCCCAGGTGTCCCCTCCCAAGTCCCCTCCTCCACCGCCACTACCGCTGCTGCAGCCGTCGTCGTCGCCGCCGCCGCCGCCGCCGCCGCCGCCGTCGCAGCCCCCGTTCGCTGACTCTGGGGGTGCTCGTCCCGGTCGCCCTGGGGGTGGTCCCTCTGGGGGTGCTGGTGTGGAGAGTGCCGGTGGTCGCCGAGGAGCAGCTTGCGGTCCAGGTGTCACCGTTGTGCCGCCGCAACAGCGGTCCCCGCCGGTGTCCGCCCTTCGCCTGCTCGGCCTTCCGTCCCCCGACCGTCTCCTCCTCTTACTGACTACGGCCCTGTTTTCCCTCCGCCGGACTCGTCCCCAGCTCGTCTCCCCCCTCTTTCCCCTCCTGTGTCCCCTCCCCTGTCTCCTGACCCGACTCCTCCGTCGCACGTCTGGTCTCACCGCCCCTCCCGTGCTCGTCCTGCCTCGCCTGTCTTGCGCTCCCACCCTATGTTTCTTCGTTCCCACGCGTCTCGTCCTCCCCTTCTGCCGTCGCCTCCTCCGTCCTCCCTTGTTGTTGCGCCCCCCCCGCTGTCCGACTACCTTCGTGCCGCTCGTCCTCTCGTTCCTCGGGTCCTTGCCTCTCTCGTTACCGACCCGTCTGTTCCGGTCTCGTGCCTTGACGCTCTTGTCGCTGCTGTCGCTGACTTCGCCTCTACCCACCGCCTTGACTACGCCACCGCTCTGGTCTCTGACCCTGCCTGTCCTCCGTCTGTCGGGGGTGCTCCTGCCCTTGGCAATGACCTCCTGGAGGACCGCCAGTTCGAGCTTGCTTTCCTCTCCGAGGCTGCTCCCCATCTCTGTTCCATGCTGCTAGTCCCTGAGGGTGACCCAGACGCTTTTGAAATCCCGACCCCTCGCACTTATGCTGAGGCGACTTCGGGACCCTGGGCCTCGCAGTGGATAGCTGCCATGGAGCAGGAGATGGCATCTTGGAGATCCACCGGCACCTTCGTCGACGCAGTTCCCCCACCTGGGGTGAACGTAGTCGATGGCCGCTGGCTCTTCAAGGTGAAGCGCCCTCCTGGAGAGCCGCCTGTCTTCAAGGCGCGCTATGTGGCTAGAGGCTTCAGTCAGCGCGAGGGGGTGGACTTCTTCCAGACTTTCGCTCCGACCCCGAAGATGACTACTCTTCGGGTTCTACCTAGCTGCTCAGCGTGACTACGAGCTTCACTCCCTCGACTTCTCCACTGCCTTCCTTCAGGGCAGCCTACACGAGCAGGTCTACCTGCGTCGCCCTCCGGGCTTTATTGGCACCTTCCCTCCTGGGACCCAGTGGCTCCTGCGGCGGCCCGTCTACGGCCTGCGCCAGGCTCCCCGTGAGTGGCACGACACTCTTCGTGCTACCCTTGCTAACCTGCAGTTCTTTCCGTCTTCCGCAGACCCTTCACTCTTCGTTCGTGCTGGCCAGACTCCGTTCTACATCCTTGTTTACGTCGACGACCTGGTCTTTGCCACGGCAGACAGGGACGCACTGGCCTCCGTGAAGGCAGAGCTGCTGAAGAGACACACCTGCACTGACCTTGGAGAACTGCGCCGTTACCTTGGCTTGCAGATCTCCAGGGACAGAGCTGCGCGCACCATCACCCTGACTCAGTCACACTTGGTGCGCCAGGTCCTTCAGAGGTTCAGCCTTCAGTTCTCCTCTGCACAGCCCACCCCTCTGCCTGTAGACCACAGACTCTCCGCTCCAGTACCTGAGGAGGTGGTAGAGCCCAGTGGCCCCTACGCAGAGCTGGTGGGTTGCCTCATGTACCTGATGACTTGCACTCGCCCAGATCTCGCATACCCTCTCAGCATCCTGGCGCGCTTTGTGGCCACAGGCAGACACTGACCGCAGCACTGGTCTGCCGCTAGGAGGGTTCTGCGTTATCTTGCTAGTACATCGGGCATGGGGTTAGTGCTTGGAGGACGCAGGCCAGTGGTCCTTACTGGACACATAGACGCTTCGTGGGCAGACGACGCTGAGACACTCAGGTCTACCCAGGGCTACTGCTTCAGCCTTGGCTCAGGTACCGTCTCGTGGAGAGCTACCCGCTCCTCGTCTGTTGCGCAGTCCAGCTGTGAGGCTGAGATCTACGCTGGTGCCATGGCGGCACAGGAGCTCCGCTGGCTGACCTTCTTGCTCACTGACTTAGGTGAGCGGCCTAGCTCTGCCCCGGTCCTGTTCGCTGACAACAGGGCCATGATCCTCCTGTGTCAGGAGCCTCGACTCGAGGGCAGAGCGAAGCACATTCAGCTGCGGTACTTCCTCCTGCGTGAGCTACAGCAGCGACGTCAGGCTCGCGTAGTACACTTGGCCTCAGGTGCCAACACAGCTGATATCTTTACGAAGGCGCTTGCGCCTAAAGATCATCAGCGGCACTGTGTACAGCTTGGTCTAGTTCCTGTCGCTTCTCACTTGCTAGGACCTTGACTTGTACTGTCCTTTATATGTATACTCAGACTGGACTTGTGTCCTCTCCCAGTGGCTGGACTAGTAGTGCCGCCCTGGTCTTGTTCTTGCCTTGTCTGTACTCCTTCTGACTGGTCTTTTAGACCCTTGTCTCAGAGGTTGGACTAGTAGTGCCGCCCTGAGCTGCTTGTTTAGGGTATTCCCCTATGCAGTCTAGGGGGTGTGTCAAACATCTGTATTTGTCATGTTTGTATAGACTGTATAGGGTTACCTCCTAGAGGGTACAACACTTAGGTATATTTGTGTGTACTCTCACTTTACCAATCAATTCAATTCCAATTCTGATACTTACGTGTACCTTCCTATTGTTCGCTGTTCATCACCCCTCCCACACTCCCACTCTCTCCCTCCTTCCCCCCCAACCCCCCCCCCACCCCCCCCAACCAACTTCCCGCGCCTAGCACGCCCCTCCTTTCCCTTTTCCGTCCCACCCTCCCCTTTTGTCCTTTTATATTGGCGGTGTTTTGCGTGCTCGGTTTTTTTGCGCCCTGATTGGTTCATGAGGTTTCGTCAAGAGTGTTTTTGTCGCGCATGGTGTTGCGACGCTCGCTCGCTGGCGAAAACCACTCGCCACCTCGCACCACTGCCCTACGCCCCTGATTGCTGCCGTGTCCAACTTTTTGCCCCTATCATGTTTATTAATCTTGCACGTTTTGGGTCAACGGCTTTAAGTACGACTTTATCACAACAACAGGGAGGTTTTGTGCTATGGTGCTGTACCCTCTATGAGCATGCACCTATCTAGCCTGTGACATATACAAATAAATGTTGACAATATATCCTTGCAATTCTTGAGATGCCAAAGCATGCACAACTGAAACCATGAACTGTGTAAGATTGAGGGGAAAAATAGTACCAATTCGTATCTCCCTTTGGTAAACATAAGCAAACACATTGCTAAGTACAAAGTGCAAACAGCTGCAACTACACACTAACGTCTTTTCCACTATAACTCTTTCCAACCTATTCAGCACCAGTGCCACCAGCCCCTTGGCACTGTCGCCACAACAAAACACCAACAGCAGAAAAGCTGCTATAAGCGATTGAATAGTTGTCACCTTGAGCTATAAGTTCTATCTGGTTCTGTAGCTGCCACCTTGAGTCGCAATCCACTATGCATAGCCACTAAAGCGGCGTTGTGTTGTGTACGACCTTGCACTACCTGTTTGTGCCTGGAGTTGTCAAAAAGCCAGGACAGAGGAAGAGGTCTTGCGCATGTGGAAAGAGATAGTGTGTTGAGAGGGAGAGAATGGGCAGTAAACACACACTTTAATCATCCCGTTGTTCAGCAGCCTTGCCTTCTGCCCGTCCCAGCAGCAGCCGCAACAGCAGGCGGCATGAACATGGCCCTGCACGCCTCTAGCCTGCTCAGCCTCTCCTCCAGGGCTTGCAGCATTGCAAGCTCCTCCCCTCCCAGCCAGCCTGTCAAGCCACTATCACACCCAGAAGCAGCACCACCAACGCCTCCCACTCCCACACCCACCCCTCCCACTTTCCCTGCTGCCCTCCCTGCTCCTCCTCCGCTCCCTCCTGCCATTCCTCCTGCCGCCATAGCAGATTCTGCAGCAACAGCAGCTGCAGTGCCTCTTGTGTTTCCGCTGGCCACTTCCACTTTCTCCCTAGCCCCTGCTGCTGCCCCGCCCACATCTCTTCCCTCTCCGGCTGTTGCACCTGCTCCCACTCCTTGCCGTCCCATGGTTGCTCCTCCGCCTTTACCTTGGCCCGACCCCAGCAGCCTCAGAACCAAGGGTGAGGAGGCAGCAGGGGGGGTGTTTGGCACAAGCCATGGACTCGAAATGCCGCCCCCCCCTCCCCCCCACCACCGCCACCGCCACCGCCGGCAGCACCACCCATCCCCGCCCCCCGCACAGGCCCTCCATTAGTCCCCGCACCCACCTTTCCTCCCCCCCGCGTCGACCCGCCAACCGCCCCCGCGGCTGCGCCAGACCCCCCTCCTGGCGGAAACAGCACGCGACGGAAGCTCCTGGGCGTGCCTGGCTTGCGCGAGCGGGAGTTGCGGGCGGGAAGGGGGGAGCAGGGGCGGCTGGGCATGGGGAGTGGCTCTCCCGGAGGCGACGGCGGGATGCTTCCAATTGGTCCGTAGTCTGGCGAATAGGAGCCGTCATCGTCGTCACCAGCACTTCCTTCCGAGGCGCTGGGAGAGCCGGGACTCGCGGGGACGAGAACAGGGGATGGCGGGAGGAGAGGCGCAACCTTTTTCGGTGAGCCTGCAGGTGACTGCGGATGCTCCTGCTGCTGATGCTGATGGCGCTCCTTGCGCGCCCGCAGCTGCTTCAGCTGCTGCTGCAGCTTCTGCTTGTGCTGCTGCTGCTCCTCCTCCTGCCACGCCGCAACCGCGTTCACCGCCGCATTCGTCGCCGCTTCCATTGCCGTGTTCGCCGCAAGTCCAGCAGCAGCAGCGGCGCAAGTCGACTCCGGAACCACCTTGGCGAAACGGCTCTCCTTCTCGCTCCCCGTCAAATCCGCGCCATCCTCCGCCCCCTTTCCGCCTGCCTGCGCGCCGTCCTGCTCAACCCCCACCCCTGCAAACATCATTCCCGCCGCGGCCGCTGCCGCCGCAGCCGCCGCCGCAAGCGCTGCACTGTTGCAGAGCTCGGAAAGCGGTAGTCCCCTTCCTTTCGGCACGAGGGACGGCGCCGTGAGTCGCGGAGGGCAGGTGACGGAGAGCAGCCATGGATGGTCCACCACGTGCTTCGCTTTCAGCCGGCAGCGCGGGTCGACCGTCAGCATCTGACGGACGAGATCGCGAGCTAACGGCGAGACGCTCCGCCAGACGGCCGCCTCGAAGTTAATCGCCCCGCGGAGAATCGACTTTCGCAAGCCTTCGTCGTCATTGTGGGTCTTACCCGCGAACGGCAGGCGGCCCGTGAGCAACGTACATAGCACAACCCCCATGGACCAGACATCCGCGCGCTTCCCGTACCGCCTCCCGCGCACCATCTCCGGCGCCGTGTAATACCTGCTGCCTGTCAGCCCCGCCGCCGATTCCCCCGGTGGTAACTCCATCGCCAGCCCGAAATCGGCGAGTTTCGCCACGCCGCCTCGCGCCATGGGAACAGGGGTCGACGAGCCGAGGAACCCGAGGTTCAGATGCCGAATCACGGGTCCTAGCGCTTGAGTGGGATTCTGCGCCTGCGCGTCCCCTTGCCCCGCCCCCTGCGCCTGCCCTTGCGCGGAACCCGGCCCCGTTCCCTGCGCCTTCCCCTTGCTATCCGTTCCGGTCTGCTCCCCTCCCAGCGCGGGTTGCGGCGTCACCAGAGGGCGCCCCGTTGGCGCGAGCAGAAGCACGTTTTCCGGCTTGATATCGCGATGCATGATGCCCTGCGCGTGGCAGTACGCCATGGACGTCGCGAGCTGGCGGAAAATCGCGCGCGCGTCGGCCTCCGCGAACGGCCCGTGCCGCTTAATCTCGTCGAATAAATCCCCGCCCGAGCAGAGCTCCATAATTAAGTACACGTGGCCGTCGTCCTCGTACACATCCTGGAGCTCTACCACGTTCGGGTGGCCCGCGAGCCGCGCTAGGAGGCGCACCTCGCGGCGCACGTCCTCCGCGTCGGCATCGTCTCGGAGCTGTTTCTTGTCGATGATCTTGCACGCGTATTGGAAGCCCGTGTGGCGATTGCGGCACTCGTGCACCACGCCGAAGGAGCCCTTCCCGAGCCGCTCGCCCATCTCGTAGTGCGCGTGCACGCCGTCCGGCGCCGAGGGGAGGACCTTCGGAGCCATCCGGTTGAAGCAAGGGACCTTCCGGATTTCCGTTCCCCGTGGAGTTCGCGGAATAGCAGTTCGCGACGGGCTGCAGCGAGAGTTTACAATCCCGGGACTCGTGGGCTGTCGGTGGTTCTCCTTCCAATCCTACTAGCTACGCGAGCGACGTTCGCTTGAAGTCGAGGAGCTCTCGTCCTGCCACTTTAATTCGCTGTACCCGCTGCTCCTTAGATCTGACACACCCTTACCAACGCCACCCATGGATGCGCCGTGAGAGATTAGACTACGTCGATATGCTGCTGCTCGAGGGCTAGATAGGATCCGCTAGAGGGGTTTCAGAATGGGTTAGAGATAGTCTTGACTGTGGGCCGACATTTTGAATCGCGAGGGGCAGTCAGATGAAATCCGCCCAGAACGAGCATGTCAAGTTGTGTAGAAAACGTTGACGCCTAAAACTTGGGATCTGGGCTGGACCTAGGGGGATGCTTAAGGAAGCTAGCCTGTAATTGGGTTTGCTCCATGGTCTAGCTGGATGCGGCAGGCAACATACATCCCACACGGCATCCATCGCACTGCGTCGAGCAAAACGGTTCGGGCAGGCTAACTTGAGCGTGGGCTGAAACGAATGGCTAACGAATTGCGGCGAAGCGTAAGTGATGCTTGGATGAAGATTTGAGGCAAGGATGCTGGATTTTGAAACCCACATCACAGCATCGCCCCGAGAACCATAACAACAAATCGTATTCGCGAAGGCAGGTGAATGTGTGGTAACTCGGTCCGGCAGAGTTTTGAGAATAAGGGAACGGAAAAAGGCGTCCTCGAATGTGATGCGGTCCGGCAAGAAGGTCGTGATTCTTTCGGGTTTGATGGGATGCCGATTTGATGACATGGCGAGGACTGGAGGGACAGATTTCGCGTCGCCCCTTGGTTTTGCAAGCCAGCGTACACCACGCCCCACAAGCACACCCTACGAAACTGACACAAATGAAGTTTCGCGCCAAGGGCATGGACTAGTGAAAACGGGTGGCGCTTCGGTTGGTCCAGCACGTCCGGCGCGTGAAGTGACAACATTCGATATTGTCTCCTCGTACTTTGTCATTAAGACTATACGACTAGCGACTCGAGGTTTCCTGTGGTGGAGCTGGGGGGAAAAGGGCACGTAATCCTTTAGGGTATGAAGTGATGTGCACTGCAAAAAAACACATTCGTACATTCACAGATCAAATCAGCCTATGCATGCTAAAGTTAAACCTGGTTTTTGGGTTGTGTATGCTGGGCTGCGAAAAGCCCTAGGATCTTTTCAGAGACTAAGTCCCACTTGTATGAAATGCTTGAGTAGTGCAGCGGAAGTGTTGAGTAGTTGAACCCTTGCACTAGTATGTGAGAGCAAGTGATTGATTAAAAGAAACAAGCATACAACAGTATATAGAAAATAAGAAATGAAGCAGTTGTAGAATATAGTGAAGAAACGGTTATCGAGTCGCACAGTGACTCGATTGTCTGTTCGGTTACTATCATTGCAGTCGCAACAGTCAAGCGCAACCTCCGGTTGCAACCCTTCGAGTCCCTTCGTCCTTTCGTATTCTTTCGTCCAACCTCCTCGTGTAACCTCCGTTGACTCGCGTACCCGATACGACTTTCCTCGAGTCTAGTATTACACTTCAGAAACGCTTAAGCCTTTGAGGTATTTCCAACACTCCCCTTCGTTTCTGGAGTGTTGACGTGTCCGGATTCGGTGACGTTTATCTGCCCGGTCAGCAGCATGCAGTAATCGAACTTTGCCTTAGCCAGTTTCTTCGTCAGGTAATCTGCAGCCATTTCTGTCGTGGGGCAGTTACTGAGTTGAAGTCTCCCCTTCGCGATCTCATCATTGACGAAGAAATACTGCAGGGCGATGTGCTTGGTTCGATTGGTGAACCCGTCTTTGTTCGCGATTTTGATCGCAGATTGGTTGTCGCAGAATAACGAGAAGGTGGGCATGGTCGCATTTTTTGCTTCCTCAAGCAGCTCTAGCAGGTAAAGTCCCTCTTTGGTCGCAGAGTAGATAGCGATGTATTCCGCTTCAGCCGAGGATAGCGCAATTAATTCCTGCTTGCTCGATTGCCAGGAAATAGTCCTGATAGGCTCTAGTCGGTAGATGTAGCCTGTTCTAGAACGCCGATTTTCCTTGTCTCCCGCGTGGTCAGCGTCGACATAGCCGAGTAGTTGTACGGACGTTGGTGTTACTTTGCTGTAGGTGAGTCCGACTGTCGGTGTAGAGATGAAGTAGAGTAGTGCCCGATTCAGCTCCTCGAGATGCTCTTGCTCCGGCTGCTTTAGGTGTGTCGCTAGTTGGCTAGCACTGTAGGACAGATCCGGTCGGCACGTTACTGCTGCGAACAGGAGGCAGCCGAGCTTCTGTTTGTATTCCTGGATCTGCTTAGTGGGGACCTTCGCGGAGGTGTCGCTGTTGTCGTTCCCGTAGCGATAGGGAGTTGCGGCTGCGATCGGCGTTAGTCCGAATTTCTTCGCAACGACGTCTGCGTACTTTCCGGCGTGTAGGTAGAACGCCGGATCGACTTCGACGAGGTTTTGCCCGAGATACTGGGTGACGGTGTCTGACACCGTAAGTGTTAAATCACTCTTCAGCTCCCCTTCGAACCACGTGACGACGTCGGTAGTGGAGCTAACGTAGAGTGGGTCATCGACATAGACGATGAGTAGGACGAAATCGCTCCCCTTTTGCAGTCGGTACATCCCTTGGTCGTGCGGCAGCTGCAGGAAGCCGATCCTGACGAGGCGACAGTGAAGGTGCTGCTGCCAGAGCTGCGGGGCTTGTTTGATTCCATAGAGGGATTTTATCAGCTGGCACACTTTTGTGTGATCGTCGATGAAACCGTGGGGCTGCTCAACAAAGATCTCAGCGTCCGCAGGTGCGTACAAGAAGGCGTTGGCGACGTCGATCTGCCGCAGTGGTAACTTTTTCGTGGCCGCGACGGCGAATAGAATGCGCAGGGAGGTATGTCGGGAGACTGGGGCGAATGTCTCCGTGTAGTCGGTTCCGTATCGCTGATTGAATCCACGTACGACCTAGCGAGATTTGAAGCGGTCGATGGAGCCATCCGCGTTAGTCTTGATTCGGTACACCCACTTCTCCGAGAGCGCATTCCGCTCGTTGGTCTTTGTTGCGGGGACTAGTTTCCATGTGTTTCGGTCTTGCAGGGCCTTCAGTTCCTTTTCCATTGCTTCCTTCCATTTCGCCTTGTGTTCCCCCCCCAGAGCCTGCGACAGAGTCGTTGGCTCGCGCGGTGACGGCGGCGGCGGGCTGTGGATGGCGACCCATAGTCCAAGTATCTGCAGGCCCGTGGGTGTGTGTCGAGGGGAATTTTCATTCATGGGATAAGCTGGCTCGTTGCCATCTTCAGGATCAGGTAAGAAATTCGGTCCGATGCATTCAGAGACATTTGTGTCAACCGTTTGAGGTGTAGTGTAACCCTGGTCAGCGAAGTGGTAGAAGGTGTCGAGGTTGTTACTATCGAGAGGGTTGTCGTCATCAAGTTGAATGGGCATGGAGCAGTAAGGGAGTGGTCCGGCGGCTTCCGAGGCTTCAGGTACGTCTTCTTCTGCTGCGTCAGCTTCGGCAGCATGGTCGGCGAGAGACCGATGGCCCTCGAAGCCGTTGGTGGGGTCTGCGATGTTGGCGACATTGTCCAGGTAATGTTGCAGCGTCAGTCTCTCGTAGAAAATCACATCACGTAAGGCCACGGTGGTTTTGTCATGGATATCGAGAAGTTTCCACGCGTGAAAATGTTTTGTGATGCTGAGGTGTAGTCCCCACCGTGCTCGTTGAGAAAATCGTCCTGCTCGGGCTGTGTGGGGTCGGTACTGTACCATGCAGCCGAAGACTCGAAGTAATTTTGTGCTGCCTAGTTTTCCTGTCCACAGCAGGTATGGTGAAGCGTTGTTGGGAAGTGATGACGAGGACAGCAACTTGTGGAGGTGGACTGCATGCGTCATCGCGTCAGACCAAAGGGTGTTGGGCAGTCTCATCCCCAGGAGCAGCTTCCGCATCGTTGTCTGCAAGGTGCTGTTCATCCTCTCTGCGATCCCCTACTGCTGGTGAGCGTAGGGCAGGGACACCAGGCGTTTGATGCCTCTTTCTGCCAAGTAGCTCCTGAACCTTTGTGACTGATACTCAAGTGCCCCGTCTGACTGGAAAATCTTAAGTTGGAAGCCCAATTCTCGTTCAGCGATGGGGAGCCATGTCATTAAGGCTTCGAATGCTTGGTCACGAGTCTTGAGGTTGAAGTGCCAGACGTATCGTGTTGATGCGTCGATGAACGTGATGACGTAGTTGTACTCGACTTCACTGTCGTCTCGAGGCAAGTTCAAAATATCGTTGTAAACTTTTTCCATCGGTGCGTATGCAGGTGCGTTTGTATTGTGGTGCGACGGGAAAGGTTGATCAGCTTCGGGGCATGTGAAGCATCATGCGCGAGGTCGTCAAAGCTCTTGGCCGCTCGTTGTGAGGAGAGCATCCTTTTCTAATACTCCGGCTTATACGGTTTGAAGAATGGTGCTGTTTGCAGGGTGCCCAAGTCGTTGATGCCAGATGTCGTCGGGAGCGCGATGGCCGGGAGAACGCTGGTACACGTCGGCGTTGGAGAAGAACGCGACGACCGTAGCGGGACTGCGGCAGTTTCCTCGGGTGATGGGCATGAGCTGATCTGCTTCGGTTGGTGGTCCTCGGATTGCTGGTGATGGCGCACGGCTGGGTCCTGCTGCTGCTACTACAGGTGATGTCGGGGAAGGGATAGTTGCTGGTACTTGTCGTTCTTGTCGAATGACTGCTAATGCTCGTGTTCTCTTTACTGCAGGGATGGTGTTGGAGTACCAGAACCCGCCTGGACTAAAATCGTGGTCAAGATCGGGCGGGTGCGTCCAGGCGGCGAACGACACGATGTCGTCGCTGTCAGCAGTACCGCGGTCGGGGACAAAGTCCAGCACGAAGACGCCCAACTGATGGAGAGCGCGACCGATGAAGAGGCCACCCTTCCCGTGATAAAGACGAAACTCGTTGGCGTCCGAGTCGCATTCCATGTGAATTCCTTTCGCCATTAATTGGCTGACACTTAGTAAATTGTATCCCAGATTGTCGACGATGAGAACTTTGTTGAGTTGCAGTATGACGTTTCTCTCCATTGACTGAAGCTGAACGCCTCCTTGTCTGTTTGTCTTCAGGTTTTCATTGTTGGCGACGGTGATGATGACGTTGCGGTTGAGGCATCGTTCTTGTTGCACGAAGCGCCCCGAGGAACACATGTGTTGATCGCAGCAACTGTCCAGGAACCAGGTGTTTGGCCCGGTGGGTTCGGCATTGGCGACTGCAGCATATATAGGGTTGACCTGAAGACCTTGTGAGCACGGCGGCGGCAGTTCTTTTTCGTCTGGAGCATAAGTGTGTGGTGACCTGGGTGTGCAGTTGTCGATGCGTACCATGCAATTAATGATATTCGGTGTGCCTTGTGCATGTGTAGAGGAACGGCTTGGCGGATTCTCTTGAGTGGAGGCGACTTGTGAATCTACCGGACGATAAACTCGAGGGCGTGTGCAGTTGACCTTGGAGTGTCCGGATGTCTGACAGTTGTGGCAGAACGGCGGCACGATGGTGAGACCTCTTGTGTCATGCTGGTTCTGCTTGTCGTATCGATTGTGGTTGTTCTCGTTTCTTCTTCGAGTGTAGAAGACTAACGGTTGCTGCTTGCTTTGTGGTTGTCTTTCTTCAAACAGGCCCATCTCTTGTTGTTCAGCATGAAGCTCGGCGCAGAGGTGCATCTCGGAAATTCGTCCGTGGGCGCGAAGAATTGAGCGAGTGGTTCTCCATTGTGGTCTGAGCCCAACGAGAACAAGTGTCACGAAGCTTTCTTCAGGGATTGTTTCTCCGCACCGAAGCAGGCGGTCGCGAAGTGTCTGGCAACGACTCATATACTGCATCGCCTTTTCCCCGGTCTTCATTTGTATTGTTATCAATTGCTGCATGAGTCTGCTTTGTGTTACGCTGTCGTTTGCTTGATAGAGGCATTTCAGATGATGCCAGGCGAGCTCCGCGGAGTTTTCGTAGCTCCGATATGTTCTGATGCTTTGTTGCTCTTGTGGTGACATGTTTCGCAGGAGAACTGTGTATGCGAGCAGCGACTGATAGGTGAAGATTTCCTGCTCTTTTGCAGTGCCATTGCTTGGAAATGGCAGGGACCTGTTGAAGTATCCCAAGAGGTGCGCGGCCTCCATCAGCAGCTCGAACTCAAAGCTCCAGGTAAAGAAGTTGTGCCCGTTGAACGGTGAAGATGTTTGCAGTTTGATCACATGTGAAAACTGCGGCTGGAGACTCAATATCTCGTTTGGTGTCTGTTGTGATGCAGCCGCTGTCGGTTGAGCACGGGGCGGCATGAACTCGAAGGTCCCTGGTGAAGAGTGATAAGGCGCAAAGGTAGGCACCTAGTTGTGCCGCCCGAATGATGAGTTGTTGAGGCTCATCGGTGCTAACCCCATATTTCCTCCGTTGCTCTGTGTTGAATGCGCAGGTATCCCTGTCTGCTGCTGCTGCTCGGAGTGCGACATCAAGCCGAAGAAACTTTCCATAAGGTTCGGGTCCACACTTAAAGAGGGTGAAGGGGTCACCATTTCTGGTAATCTTCTTGTTGTTTCTTGAGCAGCGCCAGTCTCGGTTTGCAGTCCAGCGGTTTGAAGCCCAGAAGTGCCTGGTTGAGTGGCTTGGGCGCTGGGTGAGCCGGTAGAAGAATTCTTGCCCTTGTTGTCCATGTCTTGTAATCGATGAAGCTTTTGATATGTTGACTGTAGATAGGATGTTGTTGACAGGAGTTTGGTCTCTGACCAGCTCTCATACCATGTTGGTCTGAGAAAAGCCCTAGAATCTTTTCAGAGACTAAGTCCCACTTGTATGAAATGCTTGAGTAGTGCAGTGGAAGTGTTGAGTAGTTGAACCCTTGCACTAGTATGTGAGAGCAAGTGATTGATTAAAAGAAACAAGCATACAACAATATATAGAAAATAAGAAACGAAGCAGTTGTAGAATATAGTTGAAGAAACCATTATCGAGTCGCACAGCGACTCGATTGTCTGTTCGGTTACCAGCCTTGCAGTCGCAACGGTCAATCGCAACCTCCGGTTGCGACCCTTCGAGTCCCTTCGTCCTTTCGTATTCTTTCGTCCAACCTCCTCGTGTAACCTCCGTTGACTCGCGTACCCGATATGACTTCCCTCGAGTGTAGTGTTACACTTCAGAAATGCGTAAGTCTCAGAGGTATTTCCAACAGTGTAGCAACCCCTTACAAAATTTCCGACATTTCGGGGGCCTCACTGTATTGTTAGCAACTACTAACAATCTTAGGGGGTAGCGATCAAGAACTTCGTTTGATCAATATGTTTTAGGCAACATTTTTAGCTGGTCCATGTAACAAATGTGTTATGTTTAAAGCCCCTGGCTCACTAGAAACTTGTATATTTTTTGCTGGCAGTAAAAATTTCCAGCTTTTGGCTCTGAACAAAAATGAATGTCAACCAAAACCTTAAGCGAGAAGGGACGAGGACACTCATTGGCGCGCGGCACTGGCAGTGTGTTGGCGACACCCAAAGTGGCCACAAGACGAAAGCTACCTTGTCGCCCAACCTAGCCCAACGACGACGCTGGCGACCAGCCCCTCCCCGGGCGTTTTCCAGAGGACCCCCACTTTGCTTTTGGTGCGGTGTAGTCGCTAGTCGTTCTGCTAGAACATAGCGTTTTATGTTATGAATAATAACTGAGAGTGCGCGGAATAATAATGACGAGTACAAGAAGGATAGCCTAGCATTATATAGCGAGTGCTCTAGCTAGGCGACGAGCCCGGAGGGCTAGGTTGGGTACAGGCGCGGTCGAAAGGGTCGGAGGCGGCGCGGGCGTGCCTCGGGGCCGCGTCAGAAACGGACCGAGCCTGGTCTGCCGAGAGTTCGGGTGTACGCGATTGCAGTACAACCCGGTAAGGAATAAAATTCCTTACACTAACCCCCCCCCCTAAGGAAGGTGATCAACATCGGGAACGCCTTTTCGGGTCAAATAAGATTTGAGCACCGAGTGTTCTTGAAGCGAGTCGGAAGGGACCCAGGTGTCGTCTTCGCTTGTACGTTCAACCCAGCGGACAAGAAAATCCACGTGGCGACCAGTGGAGTCGAGGCGGACGCGATGACTTAAAAGCCGGAAAGGCTCAAGTGTCGGTTCAGCCATCGGGCAGACACTTGGGGCGGCCGCTGGGCGTGCAACTGCAGACGTGCTGGCGACGTAGGGACGAAGCAGGCTGACGTGGAACGCGTCGTGAATGCGCCACTCGTCCGGAAGTAATAATTTCGCTGTGACAGGTGTCACCATCTTGACAATACGAAAAGGTCCACAGAATCGCGGGCGAAGTTTTGAAGGCAGGGGCAGGCGAAGGTTCTTTGTGTCGAGAAGGACTAGTTGCCCTGCAGCCATGGTGATATCGCGGCGATGAAGATCTGTGTAGCGGCGGGCGGTTGTGTTGGACTTGCGAATGAATTCGATTGCTTTTTCGCGGGCCTCCTGCAAACTGTTCACGAACTGCTGGGAACGTGGCACTCGGTTGGCGACGTTGGTAGTCGTCGGGACTGTCGGATCCATGCCGTAGTTTAGTCGTGGCAGATGGGGCATTGTTGTACGAAAATTCCAGCATGGGCAGGAATTCTTCCCACCGGGCAGGATCCGGGCAGTTGGTGCGTATCAGCTGCTCCATAGTTTGATTGGTTCGCTCCGTCTGTCCGTCGGTTTGAGGATGGTAGGCGGAGGAAAACTGGAGGCGTGTGCCGTACTGCCCCCATGTCTCCTGCCCGAACTTGGACGTGAATTTTGGGTCGCGGTCGCTGATGATCGTTGAGGGTATGCCGTGCAGACGAACAACGGTGGAGATGAAAAGCTTCGCTGTATCTTTGGCTGTGATTGTTGTGCGACAGGGTGCGAAGTGTGCCATCTTCGTCAGACGATCGACGACGACCAGGATGGCGTCGTTGCCCGTGGCGGCGGCTGGGAGCCCTGTGACAAAGTCCATCGTCACATGTTGCCACGGTCGCTGGGGTGGCTCGAGCGGTTGCAGCAGTCCAGCTGGCCGCCGTCGGGAAGACTTCATTCGTTGGCAGATCGGGCATGCGGATACGTATCTCTGCACATCAGACGCCGAATCAGGCCAATAATAAAAACGGTGAAGTAACTTCTGGGTTTTATCAACCCCAAAATGACTGGAAAGGTTAGAATCGTGGACTTCTTGAATAAGTAATTCGCGGAGGAGTCTGTAGGCGGGAACCCAGATACGGTCAGTACCGGCTTTTAGGAAGTAGGGTCCTTTGGCTGTGGTGGCTTGTTGGTGGTGGTTGCGGGTGAAAAAGGGGTCTGTGGTATAGCCGTGGGTAAATAGGCCAGTGAGCAGCGGGTTGGATTTTGCGACGATGATTGAGGCGAGGTGGGCGGATGGTCTTGTCAGCGCGTCAGCGATGTTATTCGCTCCCCGTTTGTACGTGATGGTGTAGTGGAAGTTGCTTTCAAGGAACTCCAGCCAGCGAATCTGCCGTGGATTTAGATTCGGCTGCGCGCGGAGGTACTGTAGGGATTTATGGTCTGTCCGTACTGTCACGTCGGCTCCCGTCAAGTAGCATCGCTACACCTTGAATGCGTGCACGATGGCGAGCATTTCTTTGTCGTGGACGGGGTAGTTGCGCTCAGCTGCCTGCAACTTCCTAGACTCATACGCGATGGGTTGGAGTCCGTCGCCGAAATCTTGTAACATTATCGCACCGATGGCGAAATCGCTAGCGTCCGTCAAGACTTCGAACGGTCGAGATGGGTCGGCGATTCGGAGGACCGGGGGCGACGTCAGAGAATTTCGCAGTTCATCGAAAGCAGTCTGCTGTCTCTCCCCCCATTCAAACAAAGTGCCCTTCCGCAGCAGGTCAGTTAACGGTCCGGTTATCCCTGCCATATTGGGGATAAACCTCCGGACATAATTAACGAACCCGAGAAAACTCTGCAGCTCCTGTAAATTCGTCGGCGGCTTCCAGTCGCGAATCGCTGTGATTTTTTTCGGGTCGATTTTTATGCCGTCCGCTCCCACGACATGTCCCAAAAATTCCAGTTCGGATTTTAGGAACTCGCACTTGGAGCCCTTCGTGATGAGCCGGGTTTTTTGCAGCCGCCGGAAAACTTGCTCAAGGTCCTTGAGGTGCTGTTCCTGTGTCTTGCTGTGGATCAGAATGTCATCAAGATAGACGATGACACACTTGTCGAGCAGGTCTCGGAATACGCCGTTCATGGTGAGTTGGAAAGTGGAGGGCACGTTCGTGAGGCCAAACGGCATCATTGTGTACTCGTAGCTGCCATAGCGGGTTCGGAACGCCGTCTTGTGGCAGTCGTCAGCGAAGACTCGGATCTGATGGTAACCGCCGCGTATGTCGATTTTCGAGAAGAAGCGAGCTGCGCGAAGTTGATCGAGAAGATCGTCCGCGCGTGGGATTGGGTAGCGGGACTTTATTGTTCGTCGATTTAGCGCCCTGTAGTCGATGCACATTCGCAGCCCGCCGTCTTTTTTGGGCGTGAACAGGATGGGTGCTGCGAACGGGGAGGTGCTGGGCCGAATGAACCCCTTCTCCAAGAGGTAGTCCAGTTGGCTTCGCAACTCCGTGAGCTCCGGCTGAGTCAGCCGCCACTGGGTCCTGACTGTAGGCTGCGCGCCGGGTTCCAGGTCAATTTTGTGGTCCTGGGGGCGCTCGGGTGGCAGTCGTGCTGGCAGATCGTCAGGAAAAATATCCGGGTACTGTCGAATCAGCGCGGCGAGCTCGGCAGGGACACTGGCACAAAGTGTGTCAATGTCCTTTGGCGTGTCGTCGACTGTCGCGTCGGCCAAGTGGACGGCGTACAAGTCAACTCCTTTTTTAACCGCTCGCTGGAGGGTGATGGCGTTGACACGTGTCGACACCGGATCTCTCCCACGCCAGCTTGGAAGTACGCGCCACCCGTTCGCACAGTGTACGCTGCATTCGCCAGTTGTCCAGTCGATCCTCGGATTGTATTTTCGCAGCCAATCACGCCCAAGCAGAATGTCGCAGCCATCCAGCGTCGTGGCCAGCATGGGCATGCTGAATCCGAAGTCGTCGCCACACTTCATCCGCACCATGCGCGCTCGTTCTCTAATTGCAAGTGGAATTCCGTCCACCAGTCGCGCGTCGATTTCGGGAAGACATTTTTCCAACGTCAGCTTCAACTGCTTCGCTGTTGTCACGTGTACGAGGCTGTGACTAGCCCCGCCATCCACAAATAACTTTATTTTTTTGCCGTTAACCTTGCCTTCTACCAGCACAGGGTGATCTTCAGGTTCGCTCCCGTTATTCGTCCGAGTGCGGTCGATAGCGTGTATCAGTACCACAACTTGGTGGGAACGCTGAAGTTCGGGCGACAAAGCCTCGTCAGTAGGGGGCCCGTCTGCTACTGACTTTTCCCATTTCCCGGCTTCTCCTTGTCGTTCTTCGTCTTCTTGGGCGCTGTCGGGCAGTACTTAGCTCGGTGACCTGGCTTGTCACATCGAAAGCATAGCCCGTGAAATATTTCATCGGGCGCTGACATGCCATTGATCGTGGGGCGGGGAGACTATCCACGAAAACGACCAACATCCCTGTTGTTCTTTCTCGCCCACTGCTGCAGTGCATCGGCTGCTGACGCCAGCTGGACAGCTTCATCGAACGTCTTGGGACGGGACCGCTGCAACTCGTATTGAATATCGAAATGCAGCCCGCTAACGTATTTGTCCCGTCTTTCCGCTTCGCTGAGGTCGTCGACTTGGTCCGCAAGTGCCGAGAACGACGCAGTGTAATCTTGAACAGTAGTCACCTGCCGCCAGTTGCGCAGCTTCATACGAGCGTCGTCTGAGGCGGATGAATGCTCAAAACGAGCTCGCAGAGCTGTGCCCCACTGTTTCCACGTGCGAATCGTGGTCGTACCGAATATTGTTTCTGCCTGTTGGTTTGAAGAGTCCGAAGTCCCGTCCTTCGCCTGCTTCACTCCTGCCGGAATCCCAATCGCAAACTGTCGTCGCCACCAATCCAACGCCGGTCCTCGAAGCAGCGACACGGCATAATTAATGCGCGCATCATCGGTGTGCACACTTGCCGCCGTGAAGAACAGCTCCATGCTGAACAGCCACCCTTGC